GAGCCAGAATATTATGAATAGTAACCGGGCTGATGTAAGCTGATCATGAAAAAAGTTGTTCGATGTTTCGGTAACGAAATGTGAACGCTGATTGGCAGAGACGGTCTTCTCGCCGATTGGCAGAGACGGTTTTTACGCCGATTGGCAGAGACGGTCTTCTCGCTGATTGGCAGAGACGGTCTTCTCGCTGATTGGCAGAGACGGTCTTTTCGCTGATTGGCAGAGACGGTCTTCTCGCTGATTGGCTGAGACGGTCTTCTCGCTGATTGGCAGAGACGGTCTTCTCGCTGATTGGCTGAGACGGTCTCTGGTCTGGTGTGGTCTTCATGAATGTTGCTCCGTAATTACCCTTGCTCCCAGGAATGTATTCTCAGGCTCTCGTCCTGAAAATATTTTTCCTTAATGCAATTCTCCCTCGGCTTACATGGAGTTACAATTGTTAACAAATTCGAATTATTTTGAACATTATTCTGGATGATTTTGTTCATGAGTCTATGAGAATAATTATGCCATGTTGATTTTCTCCTTTGATATAATTTATCTTCGAATGTTAAGATGATCAATTATTGATGTTATAGTTTTCCATATTCGTAACAATACTCGCAATGATGACAATAGCAAGGTATGTGCGTGAGGTTGTACGATACAACAATATTTGTACAGACATTTGGGATAAGTTAAAGGATAAACAATAATCCGAATCTAGCTGATTAGTGTGCAGTGATATGAGGAGAATTAAATAGTACGTTTGATGTAAGTAACTGTGCTCTTTCTCAGTCAAGGTTGGATTGATCTCATGCAGAAAAAGGTAAAAAATAGTAATAATATCTTATGGGTGTGAGCTCTGAACTGACATCAATCTTACGACTGAAGTTTCATGGTCAGAGGAGGTGTTCCATCGTATTATGTTATTGCCAATTTTCATCGGTCTAAAGTGGGTATATTAGTATCATTATACCCACTATTAATATCAATAGTGGGTATATTAATATCGGTATATCAAATCTAAGTAATATTCCTAACTCGAATATTACTTAGATTTGAAGGAAGAGAAGAAGCCAACTGAGGCGACGAATTTCATCATGGCGGCGATAACTTGACCGACTCTTCGAGTTTAGATCAGATAGGCTCGAAGAGCTCAAGTTATATGATAATATAACATTAAAATTTTAGTTTATTGTTGTGGTGTAATCACATAGCCTTGCAACCGATAAAAAGATGGATGCTACTCGTACATATGTAGCGATAGGAATTTGAGTACGATCTGTACATACTCCATTTAATATTCTTTAAAATGTCTTTAATTAATTAAAACATTTTGTCTTTATACTTAATTGATTCTTCTGTCAGATTATTAATATTCTAAGTGCGTGACCTTTTTTAATTTTTAAGGCAGAATTAAATCGCTCGAAGTTGTATAATTAGGTTGCAACTTGACTCAAATTCTGAAAATACTTTCTGTAAAATTGCAATGGATTCGACGGCACAATTGACATAATGTAGTTGGGGATATTGCAGAATTGTAGAAATACAATTCTACAATATGAATTGTAGAAATAATTGCATGAGACAGAAATGGACATTATATATTTGTACTCTAATGTTAAGAAGAAACAAGGTTTGGAGGAAGAAGTTCATTACCCTCCGAAGGATATTAAGGACGGATATGATAACTTGTAGAGCGGTCATACCGTGATGGAGTAGGAGCACATTCGAAACTCTCTTGTTTTTACTCTTATAGTTAACTTGAACAAGGAAGTAAATTGTGAGTAGAAGACGAGGAATAAATTCGGTTGATTTCTATCACAGGTTTTATTTAAGTGCTTAAAATGTATAGTTTACTCGTAAAACTTTCTCCTGCTGTGTAACAATGATATCCCACCTAAGTTATACTATATTACATACTAGACTATCAATTTGTTAGTAGCAATATACTGTAAATGATGCGTGGCGGTTAGAAAAAGTCACAGTTCTTCGGCATTTACTAACAACTAAACAAGAAGAAACTTACCGCATAAAACTTGTTTGGAATCTCTAGACTTTAATTTAGTTCTCTTTTATCATTACAATTTCATTAATAACATGGGTTCAAATTTATACGCCGGATCCGATATCAAACGATCGACATTTTCTCAGCAGTTTCCAATTATTTTCAATTAAAAGGCCGGAAATAGTTATATATAGTTTTTTATCATCTGCCAGATCATCTTTTTTAAAATTATTTAACTAATAATTCATTATCACAATGATAAAATAGGATGAATTTGATTGCTATGACCATTCAGAAACCATTCAATGAAACTGTACAAATTTGATCTTCTGACGCAATTTTCGGCTTACCTAGTACGACTTTTTAAAAAAAGACGTACTTTAAGGGACATGTCCCATGTCTTTGTCCCATGTCTATTAATGAATTTAACTCATGTTAGGCAGTGCTTGTGTTTAATGGGATCGAATCTTTTGGTTCTAATTTCTGACGACAGCATTGTCTGATGTGTACACATTATAATAGAACTTTGCCAAAAATGAAAATTTAAATCAAATTGTGGGACCAAATGCCAAGCTTAAAATATTTTCTTAAAGAGCTGAAAAATATAGTAAAATTTCATGGCCAAAATTAATGTCCAATTTAAAAGAAGATATACACATAATCTCAGTTCGACTGTGAGGTTGCAAATTAATTTATTACCAGGAGAAATGTTCATAATTTTTAACTGCTTAAAGAAAACAGTTCATACTTTTTTACATTAGGCCACTAGGTTTCAGTTGAGAGTCTCTCATTGGGCCACCGTGTTATATATTCTATATCACTTATTATTTGAATAACTTGTTGTCGAATTACAATGACTAGTCTAATATAACTATGATTATTCCTTTTGTTATCATCTCCACTGTTACTAATCGATTACATTGAGCAATAATTCTTCACTTATCAGGACAGTTCGAAGTTTCTTCTATCCAATATATACATATTTACTTAAATATATTCAAGATAAAAATATGTGTTCGAGTTAAATATGTGTTGTGTTCCGTCCAAGTAAGATTATAAACAACGAAATAAAAATAAAAGGATCAAATGGAGAGATTTGTTAAATGTCCTTTAATTTTACGCTTTAATAATCATCAAGCAAGATGAACCAAATTTCCCCTTCGTAACAACTGTTTTAAATTTTTCATCCACATTTATTTGTATTGTTGATACGTCTAAACAAATTAAATGACCAGAAGATGATTTGTTGTGCTGTAGAGCCAATCTTCAACACACATATGACATAATTGATGTTTTGTTGATATAATTGATGATGGAAAATTGTAGTTTTGCTTAAAAATGTAAATTTCATAAAACAAGAAAGCGGATGGATTGCTGTTTGTAAACCGCATTAGACAGCGCTGGGATGTTCTAGCATTCTGGATTTCAAACAATTGGATTTTCGTATCCTTTTTCGGGATCCGAAGAGAATTGCTCTACTAGATGCCACTGCGCGATACCTGTTGGGATGCAGCGGCAAACGCTTACTATAATCCCACGAAAATAAAATTTGTGGTGGATTATTTTAAAGAACAGTTAATGAACACGCGGTTTCAAGATGCATATTGACGGGTATGTGGAATACACGCACCATACTATGAGAAATAAATCAAGGAGAGTTATATGAAGTTAATCTGCCATAAATAAAATAAGTCGTACTAATCAAGTCTCATAAATTTGCTGGAGGTTCAGCATTCGCAGATAGTGACTGACTGACTTTAATAAGCAGAACTCCAGTTAAGTCTGTATAGATATGAAATAAAATAGACAAAAAGTTATCAAATCTCTCTTCTAAATAAAATCGACCTCAGATTTCGTCTTGGCAGGACGCCTACGCACATACAAGCATTCTTCATAGAAGTGGAGACAATTATGCTGAAATAAATCGTCACACACCGTTCATGTGCATCCAGGCAATGCGACAGCTACCACGTGCCTGATGATCCCTGCCCTGCCAGAGGCAGGAGGACGAACCAGCAATACCTGCATCTACGTCCAGGTCTTCATTGCAGAACTTGAGGCAGCGAACAGTGGGCAGAAATTCGTCCCTTACAAGAGTCAGAGCCTCTCGAACATATGCATTCATCCTGATACTCTCCAGGTATTTATTTCATAACGATCTAGTTTTGAAATAAATAAATATTCTTTCCTTTGCCCGATAAAGAAGCAAATTTTTGACCCAAACTGGAACAATAACGAGAATGGAATTATGTGTAATAAATTAATTTTAGCTTTTTGATGAATTGCATTAATGTGTGTTCTAATTTATATATTTTGGCGAGTGTAATGGACCGATGAGCGTTAGACATAAATTTTATCGCTTACTTTATGTTGCTTTAACGAACAAGCTTTATAGGTGTGGATGAATACTTCTAAATTACACAAGATGCAATATAAATATACAATTAATTAAAATTTATTTATTCGCTATACTTTGCTTAACTGTTGCAAGTAGGAACTAATTGAGCATTAGATTCGGTATTTAATGCCCGATATACCGAATTTAATTCCTCAATCATTCATTGTTGGTCAACATTATTTTAAACGGCTTGCGTTCGACTCTAAACCCACACCTTCTGATAAATCAATCTTGCTCGCTTATCCATCTCAGTCATGATTGCACCTACCATTAAACTGAAGAATAATCTCATTCCGGTACTTCTGTCGTGTCTTAAGGTCCCAAACTTTGTATGAAAACTCTTTTTGTTCTTATTCTTAATCCGCAACGACTTTACTCCGGTGCAGACTAACAGAAGTGCCGGATCTCGTACGTACGTAATGCAGTACGTAACTATTATGGCCTCTAGAAAGCTTCCTCGGTATCAAGAACTGTACCGACCGAAATGTTCAGCTGCATCTGTATATTCATTATTCTGTTCAAGTCATTTAAATTGTTTTTCAACTATTGAATGTTTAAATGCTGGCGAATTGCAATTTCACGTAAAAGTTGAAGACTAATGAAAAATACAAACAGAATATATGTAAACTTTTTTGGCAAGATCTCAAAGAAGAACAGAGTTAGGCTAACACAAAAATACGAAATATTCGCTTACAAGTTCGTTTTCTTTGCATCTTTTCATTACCTTAGCGTAAGCGACATCGAGTTAGTAGCCGAGATTTTCCACCAAGTTTTTTGTAAATAATATATTCCCTCACAGTTTCATATTCACCGAAGCATAATAAAGAAAATATAACAAAAATCAGATGCAAAAAATCTAAAAATGTTTCAACGAACGAAGAAAATATGCACATGAAGGGCACAGAAATATTAGCCCGGGAGCAAGCTTAATTAAAATGAAGGTCAGTTCGGCCTGTTGAACCTGGGCTGAGAAATTACACTTATTGAATGGTGATGCCACTGTACGCTAGGGTGTACGCTAGGGTGTACGCTAGGGTGTACGCTAGGGTGTCTCACACTTATACAGTAAATCCTCTTCATGAGTGTCTCTTGGTTCCTGCTACTCATATTATAGCTGCTATTCATTATATAGAACATTCGAACCATATTGGCTTCCTATACTTGCCTAAACTTTACCGTTAAAAAACATAGAACATAAAAACTTGATGAAAAGGCGTAACTATATATAATTCGAGGTTAGTACTTATTAAATAATTTTAAAATAATTCTGAAGGTAACAGCGAGTATATTTACAAACAACAGAAGCCCATAATATCGTCGCGGATATTGTTACGTTATTACTCTTTACGAATAAATAATGATGATATTCAGTTCCGATGCTGACAGCAATTGCAAGCTCAACGATTTATTACAGTGGTATCGCAAATCCTGATTTTACAACGCTTCTGCAAGCTATTTTGAACTTCATATTTATGTCAATGGTGAAAAAACTACTGGTATATTTGCTGTTTCGTTCGTATTTGGTTACATTTCATGATCTTTTAATCAATTCTACATAGTTTTATACACGTCAACAACCGCTACGAGCAGGAACATTGATTTAGATTGTAGACCCAGAGATATCCACTGATGCACTAATCATCGTGAGTTTAGAAGACTAACTGAATGGAAAAATTTTCCTCACTATATTATAATACGTAAAATATACAAATTAAGATAGATTTTGGAATTCATTTAATTTTTCTTATCTAATGATCCTAAATAATGACCGACAAAATTTCCAGAGTGAAAATGAATGCGAATTTAAGCATTTAGTGTCAGGATTAACGCGCCTCGGTGCCCTACATATTGCGCGTGTATTTCCAATTACTTAAAGATTATTCTTCATGATATTTTTCCCTATGCATTTTAGAGAGCATGAAGATCATTATTTGTAGGTGAATGTCATCAATCGGACAGCGTTCATTTTAAAAAAGCGTACAAATATTCAACAGTAGATTGTTAATTCAACTTCGGAGTGTTCGTAAAACACAACAGTGCTTAGGGATCGCGAAATCGGACTTGTCATACCAGCTGAAACTGCTGGGCAGAAAATGTACATACATACCATACATGGTATAATGTAAAAAACGAGTTCAACTAAAGTCTAGTGTGGTCGTAGATCCAGTCCACGTAGTATAATGTAAAAAACGAGTTCAACTAAAGTCTAGTGTGGTCGTAGATCCAGTCCACGTAGTATAATGTAAAAACGAGCTCAACTAAAGTCTAGTGTGGTCGTAGATCCAGTCCACGTAGTGAGGCACGTCCACGTACACGCCGGGGATGCCTCGCTCCCCACACCCGATGCCCCACGACACGATCCCCGCCAGCTGCATCGCCCCACCTCTGCCCCGACACACCAGGGGACCACCGCCATCTCCCTGTAAAAAAATAAATGTTATTAATGTTCGATTAATAGTCTTCATTTTGATTAATGTGAAGAGAAAACTAGGAAGAAGTGAACTTCTCATTAAGATCAAGTTTGGAGGCACAACTGATAACAATGAAATCAAACTATTGACTCAAAATAAAAACCAGAAAATCCAATACATGATTTCAAAAATATTTTTATTTATTTCCTGCTATAGGATCTGCCAAAAAATTTCACTCGTCTCGTATCTTCCCTTCGTCTTTCAATTAAACCACTGCAATAGCCTCTGCCCATCATTGGTCTCACGAGCGAATATCTCTTCTTACACCACTCAAAGTGCATAAAATTAAATCACGATATTTTCAAACAGATCATAAGTAGTAGCCATGATACTCGTCACCAGGTTGTATGGTAGCCATGATACTCGTCACCAGGTTGTATGGTAGCCATGATACTCGTCGCCAGGTTGTGTGGTAGCCATGATACTCGTCACCAGGTTGTATGGCAGCCATGATACTCGTCACCAGGTTGTATGGTAGCCATGATACTCTTCACCAGATTGTATGGTATCCATGATACTCGTCGCTACGTTGTAGGATAGCCATGATACTCGTCACCAAGTTATTACTTATTATTATTATGTTATCATTAGTACATTATTATATTATTATTTACCTTGCAGGCGTCCTTGTCCTCCTCGCCGCCGGCGCAGCTCATGCTCTCGTGCAGGGAGAAGCTACGGCCGAGCCTCGTCCTGCGCAGCGCCGCCTCGCACGCGCTCTTCGGCACCATCGGCACCTCCACCTTCTTCAGCACGTTCTGGAAGCTCCCCGTCTGCCAGCAAGTTATATTTGAGTAAATTTGACAAGGAAGGTGATTAATATGATTCAAATTTACCCCTGCATTGATGACCGCAACTATTGAGTTGCGTAATATTACCTTTTTTAACTTTTAATGAAACTTGCAGCATCGCAGCGTAGAATTCAGGATGCATAATAACGTCTTCTACGTCGTAGTCGACGTTAGGGAAGAACTAGTTTCATTTTGTGTTGGAAGTACACAAGACTCTGTGTACTTTAATGCATTTGAAGGTATTAATTACGACAAATGTTACGATTTACCTTAAGCCTTATAAAGGAAACATGCTTAAAACAAATTAAATTTCCTGTTTTGCCTTTTCTTGCATTCTATGAGAAGTTTTCCTCATTATTCCATTTCCATTATTCCACCAATTTCTCTCCTCCTTTCACATATCCGTCACCTTGGTGCCCTCAATCCCCCATGATGAGTGAAATAAATTCTCACCTTCCCAAAGGCGTCTTTTCCCCAACCAGTGACGTCACACAACTCCCCATCGAAGTGGGAGTGCGGCTCGGGGAGGCAAACCGGCGAGATGTGAGGGCTGGGGAATGTAAATAGCTTCATTATAATTGACAATTTGAGCATCAATTTTCCTTTGAAGCCTAATTTTAGTTATTTGAATACATGCTGCGTTATTCATACTTAATTTATTAATTTACAGCCTCATAATAACGCAAATAAATCTTGAGAACGGGGCCGAAGTAAAGGAATTTTCTAGTGCATATTATTTGCAAACCCATTTTATAAGACCAATTTATCAAAATTTTTATGCATTTTCATTTTAGTAAAGTTCATCAATTAATCGATTGCAGTGCATTGAATTAATTATCAAAATTGTGGATGCATCTATTTCTGAACAGGAGTCTAGATGAGTACATTTTAACATATTCCTAGAAAATGAAAACAAAATTTTTGTTCATAAGGTTGACTTTTCAAGTCATTTAAATGATCCTATAGATTGTAGGATGCGCAAGTTAGTTTTGAAGTTTTGCATATTGGGTTAAAAGTAATATAAATCAGAAGTCACAAGCCCATAAGACATGTACATCGAGTATGAATGCTACGAAGTCTTATAACAGTAAATTTGACGAATCTATACTTAATGACTTGGCTCACTATCTTTTGAAGTCAACTCTGGTCGATAGTCGTAGGATGGCGATGTCAGCGTGCAGCATCGCAGCGTAGAAGTCAGGATGCACTATAACGTCTTCGACGTCGTAGTCGACGTTGGGGAAGAACTCGTCTTCTTTTTGTACGTCCCATTCACCAAGACGAACAATCAGATCGTGGGGCTTCAGTCTGTGCGCAGAAAAAGAGGAATACTTCATTGAATTTGATAGAATTACGTTTGAAGTATGAATACTTTATGAGCCAATTGCTCATTATGCGCCTGATGTTGTAGCGCTATAGCAATAACAATAACTTACGGCGAAGCATGCATTCTACTCTAAGCAACCAAAGCGTAATTTAAAGTGTCTGACCATTAACAAAGTTAAATTTGATTGAAAGTCCAACATTTCTTTTGTTCACTTTAAAACATGATCGTATCTACAATGAACAGGAAAATCAAACGGGCATTTATCAATTAGGTATAAACTTGTAATAATAGAGCAAACACTAAAGTAAAAAAAAATAATCAATTGCAATTGCAATAATTTGCAAATTTTTCGTCTAATGATAATAATTCTGTATTGAGTTTGAGAGCTCGTACGTGAAACTTCTAACTGATCAGACAATAATTTAAGCACGAGTCACAAAATATATTAAATTTGGAAGAATATTTGTTTGCTCCAAATTTTAGTGTCATGTCTAAGCTGACTTGTGTATGCAGTGGGCGGCGGTAAGCAGGTTCCTGTCGTCCACGAGGGCGGCGCCACACACGTACACCATGTCGCCGCCGTCGTGCTTCAGAATAGCACCTTGCCACGGGTACTCTCCGAACACGGTGTCCCCGGGCTACAAGCAGTTATTATTTAATTAATTAATTAGAATTAACTTGAAAATGAGAAATATATGCATATATATTCGATTGATTTTAATGTATAATAATATTTATCCGTACTTAATGAGTACAAATGGATTTAATGTAAATATTTTTGACCTGTCATCAAAACTGAAACTTGCTTAATTCGGGATTGATTGCGCTGATATACAGGGATATTTTTCCCACCTCATCTCTGATACTCGTTGAGTATTTACACATTACATTAGTTTACGTTTAAATGTTCTAAATTCACCTCATAATAAGGCGTCTTGACTCGCCCGACCACCAGAGCCCCGTTCTGCTGGCCGCACTGGAAAGTTTTTGCTCCGAAGTCATCAGAGCGCGCGGCGCTGCGACAGCAAACGTCGCTGCCGATGCAGCCGCCGGGACCGGGGAGATACCCGATGTTGAGCCGCCGCTGCAGGGGGAAAATGTTATTCAGTCAATCTTTTGAAAATTTGTTAAAAAATTGGTTAAATGATTAGGTGAATAATAAATTAATGATTGATGAATCGTCGAATGTCCAGTTTAAAGCAGTGCCGTTATAATGAAAAATGTTTATAAGCTTGAGCTTAAGGTTAGCAGGTTATTTGTGAAGTTATATTCCCTTTATACCATTTCATACCTCTTCAGCTTTCAAAAAGGTGTTAGTTTGTCGCTTGAACTTGGTAGTGTCTCGTCGTTTTCTAGTCGGTGTCGATTCTTCTGAAGAAGTGTCAGTAGAATTGGACGAACTGTCAGTGGAATTGGACAATATATTTGCCTTATTATTATTGCGAGCATCGAGGGGACTGAAGTCTTCTGAGCGAGCAACTCTGTCGAAAGATGAGCAGCGATGTGCTGGGACGCATTCACACGACTCCCGGTAACCTGTGAAATGATGATGCTTAATAATATTATAATTGGTAATAATGATAGAAGTAATAATTTAGAATAGTAATAAGTATAAGAATAGCAAAGTAATAATTTATATAAAGAAATTTAAGGATCTATTCAGGTCGAAACGATTAAAGCCCCAATTTTTCCTTGAATGTTACAACTCAGATATTTCTCAATGTTAATTTCATCAAAACTATTCTCAGTGAAATTGGACTGTAATTAAATTTAATCTTATAAACTTGAATACTTCATTGCGTTCATAAGCACCTGCAGAATATTGAAGAGAATTCGGATGAGGAGGCACGACTGGGAGAGGACGATGGTCGCGGGAAGGTCGAGAAGGTCGTGACGGTCGCGATGGTCGCGATGGTCGAGAATATAAATGAGCGCCGCTGTCGTGGGCAGAATCGCTTTGATAAGAGACTGGACTTCCTCCTTCGTAAATATGTGTGTGTTGGTGGATGTGCTGCACTATTTTCCCGTCATCTTCACCTTTATATTCAACAGGTCCTTGGTGAACTACTTTGAACGTTTCCGTGGGAGGATTATAGCTGGGCTGGAGCTGTGGAGGTGAGTATGCTTGACTCACTTCGTGGACTTGTGGTCCGTAGGAACTTTGGTGAACTGTGCCGTGTTGAACCACGGTTCCTTGATGGAGAACTGCTTGGTGACCTAAATCTGGCTGAAAAGAACCATGGTGACTGAAACCTGTCTGATGAACTCCATGGGGCAGTGCACCGTGTGGTACTGGTCCTTGGAGTCCAAGATGGCCGGCTCCATATGTGGTTATTTGTGGTCCTGCATGCGGGACTGCCCCGCCCGCCGGTCCTAAGGGGACGGCTTGGATTGGAGTCCCAACTGGCTTCAGAGCTACAGGCTGAACGTAATGAACACTTGCAGGGTCGATACCCCCGCCATATGGAAGAGGGGAAGGAGGGTGAGAGGGGTATTGAGGAGGGTGAGGAGGATAGACTGGTTGAGGCAGGACTGGGAGGTGGTCCAAGTTGACGTAGTTTACTGGAGGTCCACCTGACTTGCACTGAAAAGAGATTGCAGATCAGAAGTGATTGCTATGATATAGACTCAATCTTGGCATGCATTATAGATTGAATCTAATGATGTAGTACTAATTTTATTTTGTTCTCAATGTTATTGTTTTTTATGATCTCTCTGCATGAAAATGTTCAATTTAAATAAACCTATGATTGAACAAATTTTCTCAGTATTTGTGTCAGGAAATGAAATGTAAGAAGGTATTCTTCTGCATGACATATCGCATTCGATGATAATTTAACGCAAATTTCATCCCAAGATATCATGAAATTGACTGATAACTTTTTTCTTGAGTGACACGGATTACAGGTTAGGTTACTTTCAATAAAATATTATGTATTAAATGAAGGAATAACTCACATTGAAACCGATTCCCATGCCGCAGAGTTTTTTCTCCATGCTGTTGAAGAACCTTCCTTCAGCTTTAACCGCGGGTTCGATAACTATTTTCCTATCGCCCCGATCTGTTATGGTAGTGGACACGGGAAGGTCCACCTTGTGCAGCGTGACGTGATGGCGCACTGGAGTGAAGACCGGAGGGAAGTTCTCTTCGCTGTCTGAGTCTATGTTTAGTATCCGCAACGGCGGCTGGTGATCCACCAGCTCCACATGAGGGCGCGGGGCAATGATAGGGAGCGGGTTGTCGACCGGCTGGACGGAAGGTATTGGGTTCACCCTTACGGGCTCGGGACGCTTGCCGGGACTTACGGTAAAAGTATGGGTCTGAAAAGTACAATAGTTTTATTAATGTTTGTACATTCATTTTTTGTACATTTGGCCGATTCATCTCGTTGTGATGAGTGCATTTTTTTAATAAATCTCATCCCAGATTTGCAAAAAAAGATATTTAAGTACAATTCGAAGTTCTGAGTAAAAAACTTAATTGTAAATTAGGCAATTGGGAAAACTTTTAAACTGGCCGAACAATTGGTTAATACTAATTATGATAACCTTAGAATGAATTATACAAGGATTACCAATTTATCGTTAGTAACAATGTTAATTCAACAAGTGCATGAGCATCTTACTGGTTGAATTGGAGCACCAAGGTCAACTCTTGATTTACGGCCCTTGACGTCCTCTTCTTCGAAGACGAACCGCCCGCTGCGGTCACCAGAAGTTTTGGCCGCGCTTTTGGCGGCCGCCGATCGTTTGGTGGAGGCACCTCGAGGTCCGCTGGTGCCCCACGACCACTCCTCCTCCTCAGCTACTGACGAAGACAACAGCGCCAGCAGCACCACGACGTAACACACTGAGCGCATCTTTGAGGATCTTTGGTATCTGCACAGGGTAAGAACAGAGACAGAGGTCAGGTGTTTTGTGGGTTATCAGGTAGAAAGCCGTATAGGCTAGGTTAGGCAAAACAAAGTGTTTATTATTTTAATTGAGAAGGGCATTGCAGTTACTTCGCGTTAATCGAGGCAGCAGCGTTTGTTTCGTAAGATCTGCATTCGTATTATTGTGTCAAAGCTCTCTATGAAAGGTGAAGAATGGAATATATATTGTGAGAATATATAGTGGAAATACGGCACATACCATAAACTAACTTGCTTTTGCTAGATTAAATTGACTATTCACTGACTTTTTGTACATATTTGATTTTTACATGCGCAATAAAGGTTCATATAGTGCAGTGAGTCGCCGAATGCAGTTAGTGAACAAAGTCTCCTTTGTTTGAAAGATTTAAATCCTATATCTACTTTAAATTAAATTATGGCATATCATGAGTAAATGGGAGAGCTTTAAATTTAAGAAATATGTAACAACTTCCTCATCCCATCCGACTCTAAACAATCACACCGTGGCTTCCTCAAAAATTTCTCTTGACATTTGTATATCTTGATGCAAATGTATTGATTAAGGAAATCGTACTTGAATAATGCCATACGCACGCGCGACCCTGGACCGAGCCTCTGTTGCTGCGGGCTGGAAGTGAATGTGTAGTTGTTATCAAATTAATTTTCCCTTAAAGAGAGTGATAGCATGAAAATAGCACAAATTAGCAGGGCAGCCACCATCTTGGAAAAAAATATTCGTGTAAATATGTTTAAGGCAGGAAATGCGGCATTCTTGTTGGTAAGCTTCCATTAGTATTACCAATTGTAAGAACACTTCGTAAATTAGACCCCAAGGTCTACTGTCGAAGTTCACCAATGCAGAACTTTTTCGCAGGTAGGTGAAGGTCATATTTTTCACAGCATATTTTAGTGTTAGATTATGCATATTTTAACAGAGGTGTCGCGGATTATCCAAGGTTCGTGAATTATATGTGCTCTTACATGATTATAGTTTAAAAACATTGGAAGTTCGAGCCGCCTTTTCAAATTGGCCCAACAATTAAATGCGACAGTAAAATTATTTTTAATGTTGAGGATGAAAAATAGTGTGGGATTTTCTAAATTAAAGAAGAATAAATGCAATCAGCTAATCATATCATAATGAGTGTTATGGTATGTGATATTATTTTAATTATTATGTGATACTTATTAATTATAATTATGTGATATGTCGTTAGGGATAAAACTTTTATGGAAGTTAGTTTACGCTTCTAGCCAAAATGACGGGGTTTTGGAAATGAGTCTACGGATAGAGATGAAAAATGTTGAAGCTGTTAGAAAGAGCGTTGACGATTACTTGATTTACGTAAATATAGGCTTTTTTGTCAATTGTTCTTAACAACTTCTAAGTTTTTTTGCCCTACAGTCAGCTGAAAGAAGGACCAGCGTGACATCTCTGCATGACGGCCAGAAATTGTTCTTTTCCGTTTTTCCTTTCTGTCCATTCTGCACATAAATAAGAAAAAAGTTCGTCTTGCGAGTTTAAGGAAATAATTTAATAGGTTATTTAAATATTTTAGCCAATTTAGCTTGTGTCAAATAAGCTACTACAAGAAATCAGATTTGGTGATGCTTACAGCTATTTCGTTATTTTACGCATTTAACATGTTACTGAAAGATAACATTGTGGTTTTATCAAACGTGTATTTCATAATGAATTTGATTTCCAATTAAAACAACATCCGAGATTTATTTGGGAATAAGATTGCTCTAAGTTGAATTTAAACAAATTATAGAAAATTGATGCTTATTTCGGGACTACTACGACTTCACTCGAATCATTTTCCAAGCAGTTGACGTATTTTTTATTATCTCCATTGATCATGTTTACAGTTGATTTTAAAAGTGGAATGCTCCATGAAGAATACTTGATGAGGAATAAGTTTCCAAATAAATGTCCCGAAAAGATTAAATTAAATATCCAATTAGAGATAAAATTAAAGATCCGATCCAAATAAATAACCCGGAGTACCGATCCCGAAAATATTGAATCTAAAATGATTGCATTATAAATGATTGTATACACAATCATTTTAGATCCAATGATATAAATGACTTTATAGACGTGGAACCGAGTTAAATTATTAAATTTCCAATATCTTCTCGTAGGAAATCAAAACATCAGATCCAAAATCATTGAATACTCAGCTTATGGTGGCAAAAATTCGGTTTTGTGCGCTCTAAGATTGAAGATATTGTGAAGTTCTTATCATAACCGAAATTAAATCTACCGCGAAGATTTTTATATCTCGATTTCATTGTTAGCGGTTGCGCAGTTTTCTCAAGCTTAGTTTTCATTTTCAAGATCCAAATTATTTCATTCATCAACATTTATTTATAATACATGAGGATAAATACGTGATAATCTTTGTGAATTTTGAAATATTTTATAAATTCCAAGTATCAAGTTCTCTATTGTATAATTTTCTCTGACACTTTAAACTCAGCTATGTTATCTGGGCCAAGATGATGCAAGCAGTGCAGTGCCTCACGACCCACTCTAAACTCTTCCGCTTCAAATCTGGGCTGGAAGTGGGCGTTACTTTCAAGCAACCACTCTTGCTTTCACCTACTAAACTACATTGGCGGTGCCGCTAAGCCGATTCACTTTTATTTAACCCATGATTTATAATAAAAAACTGACCTCAATTTACTGCCTACTCACTAAATACTTTCATCTACATTCTGAACTACCCACAACCCTGCTGCTGGTCGGTCCCGCTGTTCTACGTGAGCTGCAGGTATGTGTACTGCAAATCCGAATTCATTGATCACCATTTCCCTATTCTTTTAAAGTTATTGATGCAATTCAATTTTTTGTACATGAATAGTAAAAAATGAATTCAAGATTTATGGTACCCATCTTGGACACTAATACTTATGAGTGGAAATGATTAGTTTTAAAATACTATTTGTTTAACTTAACTTACGCGTACCATGAAATTTATCTGCATTCTTGTCTATATACCTGAATAATTGTGCGTAATAAATGGTTAATTATTAACCATTTATAACTTCACCCATATAATTTTAGAGCATGTGTGAACACATTTCTTCTAAACAGACAGTGTAAATTTCAATAATTATTTTGATTGACGCAGCTAAGACATCAAGACCATATTCTACTATTAAATATGAGAAATTCAAAGGATCAATTTAATGATTTTTTGACTCATTTAATATTTAATGTTTGATTTCGTACTCCCAGGTTATGCATTAAGTGGTTGGTGCTTTGTTATTTGTAACTGCACTTCTTCTCATGGTTCACTTGTTAAGTAAATTCTACTATTTGTTCCGCGAATGTGCATCATTTTATGACACTATGTTGACATGAGTGCACAAGGTGATGAGCCAGCAAATATGAAAAAATTTGGATAAAAATTCGTATTCCAACGACATAAAATTCTTGTGAAAGTTATTCACTAAATAATCAGCAAAGTCCCTCCGCAAGCTCGCAATACTGGGATTTACGTCCTGAGTCAAACAAATGCGCTAAAAATAGGAGATTTTAGCGCTCAAACGTTCGTATAATTTCAGCACTTGCCATTAGCGCGCTGTCCGCTAGCAGAGTTACTCTGTAAAATTTTTACGTTTAATTCACGTAATTTGTTATTGCCGTTAAGAGAAGATGATCTACAGCTCATCTTCTAACTGCTGAATAACGGATGCAGTTGGCACATCAAGGACAGCGGCAGGGAACGCCTGCACCTGCGAGGAGACTTCACCGCACGAGTGAAAGTGATCCTTACTGCCGTGCCTTTGTCGACATCAAACACTCATTCAATCATGCTGCATATTTTTGCATGAATATTTTGTTATGAGTCCAACAGCAGAAGAGACTATAGCTCAGAACTACTATCAGACATAAGAACACAATGTAACTTTGCTGATACTTTTTGAGGAGAAATTTTGAAGTTAATTTGGTGGACATTCAGAGAAAATCAACAACTCAAATTCAGACAATTCGTTAAAATATGATGTGGATAATGACATTTAATTCCGAATTCACCATTTTGGCTGAATTGACCTTAAAGAATTATTTAATCGTATTTACATTATAAAAATCATTTTATCAGGACTAAGTACTATTACAAGATGAACGATTGACATTATAGTACTCGTATGTGTTTAGTATAACGGTGACCGTTTTGATCGAAAGTCATCGAAGGAGGACGAATGAGTTACCGCGGTCGTATTGCCATTACCACTACCACATTTTTTATGGAAATGCATTACCACATGTTATATCCGTGCGCTATTATCAAAAATATCAGCGTCTACTACAATATTATTTTATATTATGATATATTGTATTATATTATATTTTACCATATTATATCATATTATTTCCTGTGCATTCCCAAAATAAGTAAAAAAATACTTAGGTAACTAAAAAACCGGTGACTTGATTAATTTTCGCTCATGCAGTTCATTCAGTGTATTCACAGCCGCTTATCCATGATTGAAATCACGTAGCTGAGGTGGTTCACGTTCCTGATGATGTTGGAAATATTATCCAGAAAATAACCCTCCCATTTCCGCACATGGTTTTACAATTGCACTAACGAGCTTTTTCAATCCTTGATATTTACTTAAATCGTGATAAAAGTTTCTGCGCCTTTGTGGTTGAAAGATAATTTGGCTAACCGGATATTGCGGTTGGCTTTTGTAATTGTCATGAAGTTGTTTCCCCATTGGGCTGTTATGTCTCGTTATGATGATCTATGCCATAAAGTTCTGCTATAATTTGATACTTGGTTGTGTGTTTTTCAGAGATTTGATTTAAACAGAAGCAGAATGGGAAGTCCGGAAGTTTGATAAGCCACGTAAAGAGTAATTAAGATCGGAGAAGCCTAAATAGCTCTCGCATTAACATGGGCTCTTTGAGTTATAATATTGTTGAAGATAAATATTCATCATTAATAAGTTTGAAAGACATGTCACTTTATTTTAGAATCTTTGTTATGTGATATGAGTTTAGTTAAGGCATTGCAGAGGTGCCCATGAATCCCTTATAGAGAAAATAGAAAGTAAGGTTCTGAGTCAAACGAACTTCATGTCAACGCATGGGCCAGTTTTTCTCGGGTGCTATGTAAGGTGTATTCCTGCCATTATACTGGAAAATGAAATGAAACTTGCTGGGAAAATCACAGCTTGCATCTAGGAAAGAGCATAAAATCAAATGATGAACCAGCGTTTATGAAAAATTATTTTAGATAGCTCCTAACGCCTCGGAAACACTCACGGTTTTAACGAAGATTGCAAATGCAGAAATATCTTTCGATTTAGTTGCACGTGATGATGGTTTAAAAAATGTACGGCATTAAATACATGAAAAACCATCTTCTTGAGAACTATTATCTCAAAAATTTTAATATTTTCATGATATGAATAAAATATTTAATATATTGGGACTGAATGAGACCAGAGCGGTTCATGGAAAGGCGCGCCGTGCTTCGCTCGGTTCATTTATTGGTAGTGTCTTTGTTGGCAGACCTCGTCTGGTTGTAGTCCTGACCTCTCGTGTGTATGTTAGTTTGTTCGTTAAACAATACTCTTATTATATCACTTAGGGTATGAATTTACTGTTACAAACAATTTCCTGTTATATTATTCGTATTCAAATATTAGAACAATCCTTAAATAAATGTTAGCATATGTTAACTTCAATGACTAGACAGATAGTTATATTTAAAATGAACTGTAAGCCATCGTCAGGATCACACTCACATTTTTAAAATAGGTAATGCGTGTTATTTCTTTCGCTTGGTGGTAGTTACACAATTATTCTTCATAATCTGCCTCCTGTTGTCTAACAATGGCGTCACTCAATCAAGTAATCACTTATTCGGCAATAAAGAACGTCCTCTCCTCACGACGCTCCGTCATCGAATGACCAACCAGCAGAGAGCTCTTGTGTCTTTATATAGTCGCTCGGAGCTACGCTGATACCATGTGAGGTCATACGCTGCTGGGTGTATCAAATCAACCAATCTTGTGCACAAGCACGCAAAATTTTAAAGCAAACCTGATCGTGAGACGTGAACTTGCAGAGAGCGTAAGTTACCTTTCCACTTTCCTCGTCTGCTTCCTGTATAAGAGTGGTGCAATGTCCATCAAATATTTTAAACTATTGGAATTTCCGACATATATTGTTGATCTTTCATGAAATTTTCACAATTCTGAAATCTTAACATAGGCGAGTCTTCGGTGCAATGTGTAAAAATTAATGTGAAATATTACAATTATTCTTCTAGGAAAAGTATATTATTAAGCCTAAATAATGCGACAGATATTATTTAAAAACATTATTCTTTGATCATGAATAAATTGTTGTATTTTGTGACCATGAAAAAATTATTGTGAAGGAAATAATAATTTTTGTACCTTGCCAATTCCGATACTCAAGTCTTACAGTGATTGCTGAGCTTGCCCAAGACAGCAGTTGTTGTTGAATCAAAGTCCTTTCATTTTCTGGAGACCAGTTCGCCCACTCATGCTCCACGAAAAACTTTCTTTCACCTTCTTATCTGACAAATCTAATAAATTTCACACAAAGAACAACTATACGTAAAAAATATTCGAATTAAATGGCACGCTACGGCAAAAAACGCGATCCGATAAACAATATGGATGATAAACATTGCCAATGGACTGGTTTGTGCATTTTACGCGGGTGCCATTCACTACAGGGTGACAAAATTTTTTCAAAAATTTTGTATAGGGTGACAACATTTTTTCGATGCTCAATGTTGGTTTTTGAAGTCATGCGACTATTTTTGAAAAAAACTAATTGCCATTTTAAAGTCCAGATATTATCTTTGCTTTGTTGCTTTGCCAAGATTTCATTCTATTTCATTTACCTTCTCGGCCTAAGTTTGCTCCTGTTGCATTTTAGTTCAACTTTATCGTCATGTTTACAATTCATGAAAGGTCATTGATTCGCTAGATAATTGAGTGAATGATGTCTTTGTAACTGATGCATGCGATGCCACTGGACAAGAAGAAAACAAAGGGTCAAGGCAAAGGCCAGCCAGTCCTAAACCACCAGCCATAAGTTCACTTGTTTGAACAACAACACTCTTGGTCGATGTGGAGGGCCAATATTCAGGCTAACAAGGTTTTTATTTCCAGGGATGAAACATAACAAGTGAATATAATGATTTATATTATTTCTGGTGTGCTTGGACAGATATTGGCACTCGTGTCTCCTAGTGAAAATGGAGGAAAATTGTGTCGAAAATTGAGGAAACGGCGGGCGTTCGCAACCGTCCGCCCAACAATTATCGGATGGTGGACAACGTGAATAGTTTATGATAGTGATTGAAGTATCAGAATTTTCAACTTATTTAATGATATATAATTGGTGAGGCTCGTAAATATCGCCATAAGGTTTTGAGCGCCGATATGCTATGATGATTAAAATTATAAAATTCAAGTACACGTTACAAATAGCATTTTACGATTATAGAAAAAAAATGCTAACGGTGACTTAAGTGAGCTGAATGATTACTAGATAGCCCATAATCATAAATGATGTGATGATGTGCCAAAAATTTATAACAAATGAAAAGTTTAAACGAATATGTGATTAAATGAAGAAATTGATGCGTTCAATGCATTTCATTGGAATAAAGAAATAAAGTTTAATGTACTGGCTGCATACACAAATTGGACGACAATTTTTTTCGACAACGATTTATTTTTTTATATTGTTGTTCATATCTTTTCTATGTAAGATAATTTAATGAATTTATCAGAAAACTTTTCAATTTTGGGGTAAACTTTGTTGCAAGATTACCGTTTGCAATTTGTAATAATATAATATTTCGTTCCAGCAATGAGCACGACACTGAATGATGCTAAACTAGCATGTAATTTCGAAATAAACTATTGTGTTCATATACTAGTCTATCATTAATTAAAGTTTAATGAATGATAAACAGCGATTAATGATATAATGCTCCTAGAAAACAATTGACAATCTCTACTTTTGGCAATATCAATTAATAATATCTACTTGGAGAACAGATGACATATACAAAACGTTCAACCGCCTCTAGACGCTATTTGTACATTAAATATCTACTCAAAGTACGCACGACATCTTTTAACGTTCTTCTACCTCATGAAATCTACGGTAGTTCAGCTGCTTGATAATCTTGTAACCTGCGTCGGGTTCATCTACCTCATGACATTGACGGTAGATTGCCAGAGGCAACAGGAATTCCCCCTCTCATACATCTTTGTATCTACCGTTGTAGTCTACCATCTACCTGGGGAGGGAATTTTCCCCTTTCAAATTCCATGAGGTACATGACCTGCTGTCTTGAAAGTAGACGCCAGGGTTTCAAAGTTGTAGAAAATCCATAAAATATCATGTTTTTAATTATAATTAAGAACTGAAACCAACGTAATATCTTCGAAACTGTTGCTTTCCTAGTAAAAAACTGTTGCCCTCAAAACTAAAAAATAATTAAGATATTTCAAGTAACGCGCATACAATTTCACTTTTTTTCATAATTTAATAAAATGTGGGTAGTCTTAGAACATTGAAAGTGACTGTTGTAACTCGGCAGTGCTACTTTACAGTAATACATTAATAATATTGGAGCATCGGTTGAGGTTATGCTTCGCCTCCATTCGCCAAGACGTTCTGATTGTCAATGTAAATACAATCATTAAGCGCACAGGTGCGAGTTCAATCACGGTAGTGTTGAGGCTAAAAGTATTTCAGTGCATTTTCCTGCACGTCCTTTGAGTACCAATTTGCCCTAACTGAGGAAAATATCTTCTATATGTATGACTATAATTTATTTATTTTATTTTATTTCCACAAGACAATGCTGAAAGAATTAAGATTGATTGCTTCTTTTCTTGTCAGTCCAATTACGCGTGAATTTTTTGTTTTGACTAATCTTGATTGCATGAGGGATGAAAGAACCTTCTTAAATGTGATCAATGATAATTAAAAATATGATCAATGATAATTAAAAATATGATCAATGATAATTAAAGCTGTCATAAAAAGGTCGTTTTTTCTCTCAGAGATGGTGCAGCAGGAAACAAGAGAAGAGAGAACAAAGGCACAAAGTGAAGCAAGAAGATCAAGACGCCGACAGCGAAAGTGAGCGACCTCGACGCTACTTGAGTAACGATCTGTTATTCGTGTAATGGCCGCATCCTTCCGGCTCTGTTGTTGCCTTGGTGCCGAAATTGTCCGTAGTTTAGACATGAATTTGTTTGTTGTTTTTGAGAATGGCATTAATGTAGAGCTAACCGGTGTTAATGAAGAGCTGACCGGTGTTAATGAAGAGCTGACTGGTGTTAATGAAGAGCTGACCGGTGGTAATGAAGAGCTGACCGGTGTTAATGAAGAGCTGAGGAAATTATATCTTGAGACAATTCCAAAATGGCGAAGCTACGAGTCTGATTAACAATCTTAATGTGACACGCAATTTGGCAAGCGTCGTTTCTATTAAAATCCATTATTTGAGTTTCCTTTGAATTTTGAAACTGTAGGTAAATGGAGTTACGTGCAGCCGAGCCTATGACTTAATCCAATTCTTGTATGGGAGAAATTCCCGAGTGAAATGTTATCTATATTATCAATTAGATAAATTTTCTGCTCTCATGAATTTGAAGGAGACCAAACTGCGAACTTTGAAAACTTCATCTTAATAGTGTAGGCAGGCGCATCAGAACCGTAGACTTTCTGTTAAAATCTTTTCACATTTTCTCTTTTTTCCAGCAACTACTGTGATATAATTAGAAATTAGCTTTTTCATCATATACCGTCTGTACAAATATAAAAAATGCCGAAAAGAATGTCACAAAAGGATGGTTGAATGTTCTTTAGATATACACCTCCCTAATTTAGTATTAAATGAATGATAAGTCGTAAATTATTTCTCGATCTATTTTCTAAAATGTTTACGATGCTTCCTTCTTTACTGACCGTTCCCGCGAGTTCCTTTGCAATTAAAGAATTGAAGTCTAATTGAATCTAAATTACAAAAAGTCTGGATTGAACCTTAATTTTCTAAATAATTGCTGAAATCTTTCAATTATTATCGAAGATATCCACATGAAAAAATGTTATAATAGAAGATTTCACTCAAAATTTTACTCTCAATTTCATATATCACAATTCATGCTTCTATATTATTTTTTAGCTTCAACAATATTCGCTTCTTTTTCTAATTGTTCTTCGCTCTCACTACTACCACTACTAATGCTAATACTACCACTACACTCTCTACTCTCACGTTATATGTGTATGCCTACTTCTATACTATATCAATACTAATATGCCAATGATTAATTTACACAGATTTATCTCTGATTCAAAACTGTGTGTACGTCCAAATTTCATTTCTTCTTCACTTTAATACTCTACTCTGACGAAAAACTCTTCATCTCCTCTCACTTTCTTCCCTTTCCTTCAATCAACGCTCACGCCCTCTCGTTCGCCTCCTCCGTAGCATTACAGTCGCTCGATCCATGCAGTCCATACAGTCGCCTCAGTCGTTCAACGCATTAAATTTCAGAAAGGATTCTTCAAAAGAAACGCGTCATTACCCTCTTCCCTTGATTCAAGGTACTGTATGCCTTTTTTAAATTTTATTTCCCATCCTTCTATCGATTCTTTCTTGTGTGGTGCTCGTCTCTTCCACTAACACCTGACATAATTTAACGCTTTGCCTTTTAACGTGTCTGGCCTAATCTCTGTCTTCCTCTTACATATCACACTCTCGCGAAATCTCTTACTTTCCCCTTCCCAATAACAAACACCCCACATATCTCGTGGGGGTGAACTTCTCTTCGCTCAATCAATTTGGGCTACCCGATCTAGTCTAATATTTACTCATCATCCTCTCTCTCT